ACTGCTCACACATTATATACAGTATTAGTTAACACCCTTTATCTTTCTATTGTATTTTGCTAGATGTCTGTATGTAAATCATCACATCCTTAAACACTTTTTCTTTTTCGCATTTAGATCCAAATATTTTTTTTTATTTCGAATCTATTGGGAAATATAGTTATACAAAAATAAACGTTTTACTAATAATAATAATCCTGTAATTAAACTACAATTCATGTTTAAATATTTTCTAATTATATTAGAAATTCATCTACTCAATGCAAAGTTGAAGTTTGTGATTATGTATTGATAGTAACTTTTCTTTCGAATTTTTGTGTTTAACACATTGTTCTACTACCATACAAAATTCTTTTATAATTACATGACAAATAACTAGTACATAATGATACAAACTTCAAACATAGTAACAACGCGATGTTATATCTATAATAATAAACAGATCTATAGTTTTCCTAAGTAAAGAGTTTGAGTCAATCTTGAAAAAACAAGAAATTACTACATGTATAATATGAGATGATAATATACGGTCTAACGGTAAAACCCATGTTTCTATTACGCATCAAACATATTAAAGAAATAATTAAAAATATTTTATAATGTCGATTTTTTATCGTCACTACATGCTTGAAGGTTAACGACTGCAAAATGTTGTCACAATTCCTTTAATTTATAACTTCCTTAGTGACAATAATAAAAGTCGTCAAAAAATTGGTCATTAAAGTTGGTCATCCGTAGGGGAGTTTGTTTCGCCTTACAATTTGTTACGACTTTATGGTCTCTACAAATAATTTACCATGAAAACCAAGGATAGTGACGATAATATATGACCACCTCTGATCATGTCACTAAACAGTGTCTTTAACGACCACTATTATATAGTCATTAATTAATGCAGTCACTAAATAGGTGTTTTTCTTGTGAGAACTACGGGCAAAAGAATATGCTTCTCCTTGGAGAAAACTTGAAATGAAACCATTTTTTATTTTGACAATCACTAGGGTGAAAGTTGCTACCGAAAGCAAGGTTATATTTGGAAAAATGTCATTTTTTCGGTATAATAAAATAGGTAAAAATAAATTAAGTATATTAAAATTAAGTAAAACCATGAATGCAAAAATATCATATTATGAATTTGCGATCACATTTAATTTTAGTCGATAGATTGTCCAACACTGCAAAGTGCAAATCTATGAGAGTCATCAGAAAAAATCAAAAAAATTGCCTAGTAAATTCCCTTTTCTCTTTCTCCTTTTCAGTTTTTATATGGGCGGGGAAGAGGAGATCATGTAAATTGTAAAGACGCCTAGAAGCCCACAAGAAGACTTGTAATTGCCATATTTGGCCCAAAGGAACTATCACAAGTAAGCATATCTTTTTTTTTATTATTATTATTTTTAATTATAAGTGTGGGATTTTATTGAATTTTTGAAATTAAAACAAGAAGTAGATTTCTGATTACATAGGTCCGAGGATTAGAGTTCAGATTTGCGGAAGAAAAACTGAAAAAGAACGGGAAAGAACAGGAATCAGAGAACAGAATCTGGAAATGACAGAATATCTGATAATCCGACAATCTTACAATAATGCAACTTTTTTATTTTGATATCAGAAACCTAAATTACGATTTGATACTACTGCTGCTTATATTTGATTAAAATAAGGCCCTAAGACCATGGCATAAGGTCATCCTCAATCTCAAGTCTAAACCTAAGACCATGCTAAGGGCAATCTTCCAGTCCAGGTTGGGTCTTGGGAATGTAGTGTACTAGTAGTTTGCTGAAAAATAATAATCACTCTGTCTTAAAAAATTATTATTCAAATTGGACAAATAAAATAATTATTTTGAAATAAAAAAGAGTTATAGGCCCGGCTCAAGATTTGCGGGGGCCTAAAGCGGGACAAGAATTTGAGGCCCTTTGGAAATTATTTTATCAATGAAAGAAAAGTTTATTAACTTTTATCCTATAAAATTTATTGTTTAACTTTTTTGGATACAAACTCATTGATATAATGTTCAAATTAAATTTTTTTAATTAATCTCAATATCCAATTTATTTCATATTTTAATCAAAAATTTTACTTACTTTAACTAATTTTAAAATAATTTTATAAATATATAATACATTGTTAACAATTTTTGGGGCTCTTTTAAAGCCGGGGCCTAAAGCCCTATCTTTAGTGGCCTTATAGTTAAGCCGGCCCTAAAAGAGTATTAATTTTGAGACTCAATAATTATTGTAGAAGAGAAAGAATATAGCAGTTAATTATAAATGTTTAAGACTAATTCACAAGTTGATCCGTTATCGTCCAGCGGTTAGGATATCTGGCTTTCACCCAGGAGACCCGGGTTCGATTCCCGGTAACGGAACTTTTTGTTCCCCGTTATTTTGATCTTCCAAAAGAATGAAAGGCAGCTCTCCCAGAACACCACCTTTGGGATCTCTAAAAAACTTCATCAATATTATAAGTTTGTAACTAATATCAATAATCAATATCCTAACAAAAGGTAAGAATTTAAACTCCGAGAAGTAATTACTTCATTAATTTGAAATTGCACGGTATACATACAAATCAACAACCCCCAACAAAATCACCCACATGCTCTAAACCGGGAAAAAGGACCACGGTTAATTTGTGTTGAACATGCATGGTCACTCTCAATATCCTGTTAGGCCCATGAATGATTCAAAGAAAAGTCTGGCAGATTTGACTTGGTTTATAACATCCTCTTTTGTTTTTTTTTTTTTTCAAAAAGTAAAAATAAAAATTCTTCAGCAAATACTGTCGGTAACAGTGAAACCGATTAATTCATTTGTTACGTTGTAAACATCTAAATGAGTAACATGTTCGACAAATTTAAAATTTTTTCATGCTCATTGCAGATCTCGAACCCTACTATCTACAATTGAGAGTGAAAGAGTCCTTTCTACCCGCTTAATTATTTGATTCTTGGTCTATAACATTAATCGTTAAGACTTAAGACCCCCCCTGGAAAAACAGCACAGGAAGACAGCCCGTGAGCCCGTGACTCTCACTAGCTAGCTAAGTATACGTAGTAGAGTCTCATGCCCACTTTTTTCTTTTTGATGACTGCTGCCTTGGACTCTGTCTATATTGTAAAAAGCTAATCAAAGTTCACGTGCAGCATCTAAACCTACAACAAGACAAATACTTTTGCCCTTCACAAAAACCAGAAATACCCCGTTTACCTTTTTCTTAATTCTTCGAAGAACAGTAAGGAGATTTTGATGAAAAAGAAAAACCAAAATGGAAAAGCAATTCCTACAGTGTGTAAAAATGCAAAATGTAAATATTGTTTCGAGAAAATATTATCTTTGAATGAGACTTTACAGTTGAAAATCTGAATTAGTTGGGGCAATAATTTCGAGCACCAAATATAATATGCGAAAAAAATACAGTAAATATAAAAAAGGGCTTATAACTGTAAAGGAAAATAGATGAAGCTAAAACAGGTATGATTATTGAACAACTTACACTTTGGATCTTAGTAGTTAACTATCATAATAATAATCTTCTAGATGAAATAATTATTATGAGATGGGATGGAAGGTTTTAAATGTACCCAATTCCATCGTACTCATTCTGCAATCCAAAACAATACAGTAATCGACGGTTTAGGGTTTCAATTTTTTTAATTAAATCGATACTAACTAATTATAGTATTTTTTTCATCCCAAAATAAGAGTTTTGTTTATTATTATTCTTATTTTACTATATAAAGAGTAAGAAAAAGAACTAAAGTCCGAATCTTTTCAACCGCATTAAGGTGAAACCAGAGGAGGACCATGTGCATCTATAGAGAAGATCGTTTGTATCGCTATCACTAATTTATGTGCAGAGGTTTGAACGAATTTCATTTTCTTTAGGCATATGGTCTTATGAAGCAGAAAAAAAAAAATGCCATTCGGGAAATGACACTTGTAGTAGTAGTACAGCATTAAATAAAGACTTACCATCTTTCTGAAATGAAAATTAAATAGGCAATAAATTGAGTACACTATTAAATGGAAATCTTTAGTTCCTTCTATATATGAAGAATGGGGCACTCTTAAATTAATAGACTGGAATTTACTTTTATCTTCTAAGTTTTCCCAAGTTACTTATGCAGTACTTAATAATGTTATGTACCAAAAAAAAAACTTAATAATGTTAGAACTAAAGATAAAAAGGCAAGAACAATTTATGAGTTCATTATTACATGAAATCAAAAAAATCGATGACGGAGTAGAGTTTGATATACAGTAGAACTTCTATAAATTAATAGTATTGGGACCACCAAAATTTATTAATTTAGAGATTTATTAAATAATCGATAAATTAATAAATTATTAATTTAAAGAATTTATATGAGAAAAAAAGAACCGTCACTAAATTACGTAATTTACACCTGTCTTTACATCTGAATTAATCAAGTATTAAAACTTTTCTGAATACTAGATGTTCATCCATAGTTCATATCGTCTCCAGGAACTAAAAAAACCAAATATCAATAGTTCATAGTGTACTAAATATTTATAGTTATTATTTTTTTTTCTTTTAGAGTATTTATTAATTTATAGTATTGGTGGGACCTATAAGTATGTAGGAGATTTTTTGAAATATTATTATTTTATTATTTCATCGATTTTCTTTATTTTTTGTACTGATCCCAAGTTGGGATCGGAGAAAATTATTAATTGGTATAAGTTATTAATTTATAGATTATTAATTTACTGACGTTCTACTGTAGTTTGAACTTCATCTACGGATTAACAAAAATTCAACCTCAAAATCCAAAATATAAAGTCTCAAAACATTGTGTCTTATCTTATCCAGATAATTGGAGGTTGTCTTAAATTTTTTGTTTTTGTTTTAAAAGGAATTTAATTTAACAGAAGAGGAAAAAAAAGATCAATTTTGTACCGTAAGGGCATAGTAGTCAGAAGAAAAAAAATATATAAATAGTAATGTTTGTCGTGAACAACAATGTCGTGATCAGGAGCTTTTCTGGCAGATCGACTCTCTCTGAGCTCTCTCTTTCTCTCTCACACACTCACACACTAAACCATGTAACGTTAACACGCTCCCATTCTCTTCTTCTATTCCTTAACCACAAGACGATAACATCACACACACACACACACACACGCAGTGACGTTTCACAATTTTCCCATTCATCCCAAAGCTTACATATAAAAAATGTTGAATGGGGAGACGATCGAGATGCAGCTTTAGCATTGTTTATATTTATTTACAGAAAACCATAAAAAGCTTTGACTTGGAAAATCCTCTCCCACTCTGTAATATCTCTTTTCCCCTGTTCCCTTTTCCGCTACAATGGCGGTGAATTCCGCCAGCATTGATGAGGTAAAAATTCATTAATGTTCTGCCCGTCAGAATTTGAGGGCTATCTGATTCTGGGTTTTGCTTCAAAAATTCAATTGTACCCGCATTTCGTGTTTTTGTTGATTCCCGATGTTGTGTTTTAATCTGGGAATGTAAGATTTTGCTTTCTTGTTGCAATGCCGGTTCAATTTGATAGCTCTGCGTATCCTTTCGGTTGTTTGTTTAATGTGTGTATGAGTTTTATGAGATTTTTCATTATCCCGTTGACCCAATAAGGCAAACTTCTTTGCTTAAGTGTTTTTGGTTTTGTTCACTATTATTGTTATCTTTTGGAATCTGTCCAAGAAAGTCTTTGACAGTGAAATGTATGCGTTTTGTTAGCTCAATTAAGTTGCTTAAAGTAGTATTTTGTCAAGTACAAGGCTTCTTGTAGCTTAAAATTATATGGGCTCCGCAGATTTCTGTTTTTGTTTTGTGGGAGAAGAAATGAATGCGACCGGAAAATTTGGTGAAAATTTGATTAAGTGTAAATTGCTGGTATGGGTTCCTGCTCAAAGAATGCGTATGATGACAAAAGTTGATGACAGATGTGATATGAGTTGTTTTCTTTCAACCTTTTTGGGTAATTATCTGTAGAATCGGGCGGGTGCGGCTTGGAGCCAAAAGGGTGGATAGCTGGTTACTTCTCATCATTCATTGAACTTATTTCTCCAAGGATTAGGCTGGAATAGTTTGATTTGCATTATTTGGATCTGAGCTTTGTTATTTATTTGCTGACCTTTAAGGGAAACAGGGGATTAACAGGAAATTGGAGTAACGTGTTTGACAAAAGTAATCCCATCTCTGCTACCAAAATTGATGTGTACGTTTTACTTGCCATCATTTTGGGTTTTGAAAGGGATTTTTTTTTTTAATACTTTTAGTACGGGATTTGAAGCTCTTCCCCATTTGGAAATCATTACAAACTGAATCTCGGTTTGTTGGTATCATGAAGAATGGGAAAACTGGTTTGATGGGCAGAACTTTGAGTAACAAAAACTCTTAGACTTGCACCTTTAAGTTATTTGGAAAAGGAGTTCAGCATATTGATCAATGCAATTGTAAATATTTTATTTTTAAAGTAAGGCTTTAGGTTTGGGAGCTACTTGCCTGCCTGCTTGTCCTTCAGTGTATCTCCTTCCTATTCCTGCTGAACCTTCTCTACATTCCTAACCTCTTTAACGGTACACGGTTCTTTCTTGCATAGAAATTAGTTGGAACAAAGAAATTACTGTCACAAAGTCAGTTGAAAGAGTTTCTTTCTGTTTTGTGTTAGGAAAGCTGTTCAGTTTATCAATTTAATCCTGGTTTATGTTGGCTTGTCAGTTTTGTCATTAAGTTTTGGTCGTTTGAAATTTGGAATTGGTGATTGCAATAAGGCCCTTCTTTTAGTTTGCTGGAATTTTGGAATTGATGATTACAATAAAAGAAAGTTTATTTATCTTATCTGTATAAGATCATCACCCCAATTCTAATTGTGTTGAGCCTAGCAATCATTCCATATTTGCATTATGATTTAAAATTGAAAGGTTTAACATCTGTGCTTTGAAATTTTAGTGCCAGGGTGCCCTAAGTGTTCCACTTTTATCTGATGGAGTCAACAAGAGTTCCAAATGTGAAGTCGACAACCTCCTTGGAGATCCTGGCTTGAAGAAGTCTCAGATTTGCTTGGATAACCATCAAAATTGCCAAAATGACGCTAGTGTAAAGGTCGATATAATGGATGTTTATGCCTCGTCTGCTCTAGATAGTGATATTGAGAAAGGAAAGTTGGAGATACCCAAATCTAATGCTGAAACCAACATGACTGAAGATTGTTTACCTGTAAGTTTATGAGTTAGCATATTTTTAGTATTAGTGTTTGTGCCAATTCTGCACATCTTACATGTGGTTTATGTATCTTCTGTAATCCTTGAACCAACTCTTGATTGCTAGTTCTTCAGTATTTTCAGAGATTAATGCAGAGAGAGATTAGCTCACATGCTGGAGAAAGATTCATGCAACTTCTGATGAAAAGCAGTTTTGAGCTACCCAAATTTGCATCACGAGGTACAGATATGTTCTTGTGCTCTCTTGTTGCCATTGACATGGATTTTTCTTTCTATTTCAGAGTATCTTTTACTGATTTTATTTTATAAAATGAGTGAATCAGATTGCTAATTGTCACTCATCATCTTTTATGTATAGCTTTTAATATGTTTAAAGTTAGACGGCTACTGTTGAGGATAACAAAGGTGATATCATATTTGAGACTGTCTAATATGTCAAATCAAGTGTTGAGAATTAATAAAGCATATTCTTGGCACTCTGCGTTAAAGAAAACAACTGAAGATAAACACATTACACAAGGATATTTCCCTCTTTTTACAAGAAATGTGATGCATTCAACAGTTTGGGAGGGCATTCCCCAAAATTGGTTGTTGCAGCTTTCTTTCTTGCCTTAACATTCTCATGATACAGTTAATGGAAGTCAGTTTCAACTGTTTTAATGTATTGTGCGTTTGTGTGGTCCAAACATCTAATGTATATTAGATCCATAATATTGTGAAACAAGTCTACAGCGATAATCCTATTGATGATGTCTTTGCTATCTCGACTAGGATTTTGATATGTGGACATTAGTCTGACTCCCTCTCTCTCTCTCTCTTTTTCATTAAGCAACCTTGAGAAATTGATTCATAAACATTTCTAATTGTTTATGATCTCCTTTTCTCTCATGCAGATAAATGTTTGACCCCTACATGCCGATCAAGAAAATATAAGCGATCCGTATCATTCAATTCGAGAAGAGTTGTTTTCCTGTTCTCAATCTTGTAAGTTCAAAGCTATACTACTTTATTTTCAAAGCAATTGTGTGCTTATTTCGTTTGGTAAGTTATAAAAAGCAGAGGACTTGCTGTATTTATGTTATGCCTTTGATTGTTCTATAATATCGAATCTACCCCCATTGAGGAACATATAAAGTAGAATTCTTGATGGTTCCAGAAAAATTCAATATTGCACGGATAGGTGCAAATTGTTTTTAGAGAGGATTATACTGGATGCCTGTTGAAGAATCTTTAGAGTTCTGTGAAATCTTGAGGAGTGAGTGTCTTCAGTTGTACTTCAATTGTTTGTTTCCATTGCTGAACCATTGGTAGCAAACATAGTCTAAACTTACTGGTGGTTTTGGGGGAAGTTATTTATTAGATCACACAAAAGCGGTGTTACTTTTGCTCATGTGGAATGAACCTAAAGCTGAGAACAATATATGGCCTATACATGTTAAGCGTGAAGTTAATGGTTAAAGATTTGAACTCATACCTTCATCGGAAATTCAAGTCTTGCATGTACCTGAGAGTTTCGGGCATATTTTAATGCTCAAATCAAATTTCTTTTGCTGCGTTCTTTTCTGTGGACTACAAAATGATACAATCTCATCAATACACATAATTACATCATGGCAGAGAATTAGAAGTCTTTCATTTATTTAACTAATTTCTAACTCAATTTCTTTTATGTGTAGATCCAGTATGGGGACAATTATACTTATATATCTGACTTTGAGGGTGAGGCTGATTAGCGATACTTCTGCAAATCTGTGATTCATTGCAATTGCAGAGGATTGCCATGGAGCTACATGTACTTTTTTTTTTCTTTTTTTTTTTTTGGAAATAGTATCGGTAGGAGGCTTTTGCTACTTCTATGTACATAAGAAGGCAGAATATGCATCTTTTTCCTTTACATCACATTCCAAATAGTCAAAATTAGTGTAGTTTGCCCATTAGATTTTTCGGATTTCTTCTACTCTTTTGGATGATTGGAAAGGAAAAGTGTTCTCTGGCATTTTTTGTTCATCACACTTCAGCAGTCCAAAGAGCAACATTCTACATTGTGCATTTTCCCTGGCAAAGATTGGGTTTGTACTTCTGTTTGCTTCCAGGATTGCGGAGTAAGCATTGAAGCAAATATGACTGAGATATGATAATATACTGAATTAAAATTCTTGTGGCTTTGAACTTGGAATCTGCTCAAAAAAATTTTCTTGCAATTATAGAGTTTATGCATCGGATATTGAGGTCCTAAAACCTACACATTAATCAACATGATATTAACAAAAGAAAGTGGTATCAGAGAAATTGGACAATACAGTAATAGCATGCCGACGTTTTCCTCCTAGTTTATATAAATCTGCTTCAAGGTAAAAAAGTGGCGGCCAACCTCCCTCTTTCAAATCAACAAAAAGAGAACAACAATAGCCTGCGTATTTTGATATTACTTCAATTTCCACATTCATAAATATGGTTTGATATTTTCCGAGTTGTTTCTACTCAAGATAATAAATCTAGCATGCACAACCTCCTCCTTGCTGCTCTGATTGTGACGGATTTGACGTTGGCTTCAAAACTACATCAACCATGTCTTGTTGACTTGTTGATGAAAGTGTATCCATCCCTGGCAAGGCAGCAGCAATCTTCCGAAATAATGGCTGAAATCCAAATTTCATGCATAAGCAATTTGCAACATGACCTCAGTATTGAAGCCTATGAATTTATGATTAAGGCATCGCATTTCATACCTTTATATTGAAGCCTGCTTTAGCACTGGTCTCTATGAACATGACACCGACCTCACGAGCCTTTCCATCTCCTTCTTCTATTGAGACTTGCCTAATAAGATATATCATAGGAGATTCAGAATATAGTACAATCTCATCTAATGAAGTGATAAAGCTCAAACATACAAGTCACTCTGACCTTTTATCAACCAGATCAGTTTTGTTGCCAACAAGAACAATAATAACATCAGTGCCTCTTTCTGTCCGTACTTCTTCAATCCACTTAGAGGTATTCAAAAACGATTGACGATCTGCAAACAATAAAGGAAGGTGAAACAAAGCAGTATTGTATCCAAAAAAAATTAGAGAAAAGTGAACAAAAGTCTCTATAACAATAGGAGTGAATACACCACTTCAAAAAAAAAAAAAAAAGGAGTGAATACCATGCACAATAAATTGCTGAAAAAAATGAACTTGAGAAGCTAAAGATTAAAGTCATTGTATCCAAAAATTCAAAACAATCCTTACTGGCTACATCATAGACTACCACAGCAACAGAAGAATCTCTGATGTAGCTTGGTATAAGACTTCTAAACCTCTCTTGACCAGCTGTATCCCTGAATCAACAAATTCACTGGTGAAACTAGACACAACTGAAAGTGATTTGCTTATCTAACCTCAATATAAATAAATAACCCTACCACAGCTGCAGGCGTACTGTTCGATCTTCAAGATACATCGTCTTCGACAAAAAGTCAATTCCAATCGTAGCCTGAGGTCAAGTATAAATCTTTGAAAGATAAATATATTTGGCTTTCTAAACTTTATAAGAGAAGAAGATGTAGGGAAAAGCTATTATTAAACCAAAATGCAAGTGACATTTAAGAAAAACAGGAAGAAAGATACACAAATGCAAGTCCATCCAAAGAGCATATTGTATCATGCATAATGTATGTATAAATAGTTCAGTTAATAATATAAATTTTGAATTTAGCAACAAGTTTACGAACCAACAATTAACTCTTGCAATTTGTCCTTTAATTTTCAAACTGCTTCTTTCTTATCTATCCGAGCACTTAAGATTGAAACTTCAGTTCTCATTTGAACTTATGTAATGGGGATGGAATGTCTCTATATGATTATCTTCCAGCACAATCCTGAGAGAATGAAGGTGGCAAGTTGTGTTAAATAATAAGTCTTGGTAGTGATTCTGAAAACCTTTGCATCTTATTGTTCCCCTTCACTGTTTTTCAGCCTACTGGAAGGAACATCTCCGGTAAAAACGAAAACTTTTTGGTACCCTTTCACATTCCATCAGAATGATTAGACCATAATTTGCTTTAAACTTTAAATTTGGTTTCAAGACAGCTGTAACGGTCTAAAACAATGGGATCAGTTTATCTTTTACCATAAATCGGCCTACAGAAAACAAATCAACTATGCCATTATAACTAGAAGCTTTGTAATGTACTTTCCATTCAACTAAGAAAGCCAAAGCATGGATGTGAAAGTCTAATTGAGTTTCATAAGTTCCCTCTGCCACCTTAACCATTCTCCACTCAAGAAAAGCGTTTTCTGCTTCAAGTCATCCATGTAACACAGTTCACCAAATGCAAAGGTAAGGACTATCCATAAGAGCTCTTGCAGAACATAAGTTTGTACAAACTTGCTTCTTTCTGCTAAATGTTGAGTGTTAAAACCTTTGTTATCAAAGCACATTTTTTCACATAGCATTTAAAGGAAAAGGCTACTATGAGAAGCAAACATCCATTCCACCTCTATATTCATGAAGAATAAACAACTCATACAGAGAAAGTGGCATTCTTAATCACAGTGTCGCGGATATAGCTGAAAAGGAAAACTGATTTCCACCTTCCTAAAGCTTTAGATGAAACAAAGAGGAGAACCACCAAGCCATATTTCATCAAATAACATAAATAATTTGGATCCACAAACGAATAATGTTTGAATCCATGAGAAGCAGCTAAACCTCTATTACAACATTCAACAAAATTGCATTGTATATCAAACATGCCCCATTCCATATCATTTGTCCAAAGTCCAAACAGAACAAAAGCAAAACAGACTGAACCTTCGTCACTCAGAACTATATCCAAATTCAGAAAAGAGCAGACACAATTCTTGACGCAACAAAATTCATTCAGACACATAAGAATAAAAGAAAACAATAAAAAGGTACGCGAAAATTATCAAAAATACAAAGGTTAACACAAAAGAAACTGTGGGATGCGTATTACAACTGAGCCTGATCAAACATAGCAAGAATTTTCCAATGATCGCCCCTAAGCAATCTCATGAAAAGTCTATGTTTTGAAATCCACTAAGAGTAAAAACCCACCAATTCTGCTGCATAAAAACGTAACTTTCTGATTTAAGAATACACCCCATTGACCATGATCATACAGAAACACGAAACTCAAATTTGCAAACTTCAGAACAAATACAAAATAATGGGCAAAAAGCAAAAGTGGGATTTGGCAGTTTAGACAAACCTGATAAGTGGTATCAAATTTATCGTACATGAAACGGGTGATGATACTGGTTTTCCCAACGGATTGATCACCCAAGAACACCAATTTATATTTAGCTAAAGGTGATACCACTGCCATCCTCTTCCGAATTCCAATTAAACCCCTCTTTAAATTAACCCCTTTTTTTTTTGAATCGATCAGAAAGAACAATGTGTGTTCAGATCTGATTACGGTGTTTTCTTTCTCTTCCCCTGTTTTTGTTTGTCAGAGAGAGAAGGAGAGAATTAAGGAAGAGAAATAGTCAAGAATACTCTCAATTCATAGACATGGGCACAAATATATGGAGGGACGACTTGTCCACTTTATTACAAAATCTACTTCATACTATTCCTTTCGAAGAAACCGCCAACTATCAGTCTTGAAAACCAGAACATAAATATGATTTTTTTTAAAAAAGAAAACTAAGGGAAAAAAATGTTATTGACCAAACTAATAAGTTTGGGCACTAGACCATATCTCACAATGCCAGTTCAATCTTACCATTTCATTTAACTTTCGCGTTAAAAATAAAGAGTAATCTTTTGAGATGAGAACTACTATCATTAGATAAGAATAGCTACTAGAAAATGATCAATATTCAGACTCTTTTTTTTTTTTTTTCCTGGAAGAAGCAACACCACACTTAATAAATGGAAAAGGAAATATGTACCGAAAAAAATAATGCAAAAGGAAATAAATCCACTCTTATAGTAATGATAGGAGTTTCAACACATCTACACTCTTTAGATATTACAGCTCTTTTATACTGTTGTTTATACAAATTTCAAAGTTTAACATGGACAAAATATCTTTGATAATTTACTTTACTAGTTTACACTCTCACCGTTGTCCTCATGTCTTATTAGTTTTTGTTAGTTATTATCAATGTTATAATTAGAAAATTTTGGTTGGAAAATGAATTGCCCCTATATATTTACAAAATACTTTGTTTCCCTCATGGAAAGAATTTTGATTAAAAATTATTTATCACTCAAATGTAATTAATAAGTAACACATTTCCGTGTTGCAATATTAGTCAGATCAAATTTTTTTTTTAATATCAGTCATATCAAATAATTAATAAGTACATCTATAATATTAATCATATCAAATTTTTTATTCTTTTATTTTTTTGGTGAAAAGCTGATATATATATATATATATATATTCCAAAATAGAGCATGAGAGTACAAATTCCCTACCAAAAAGTTCTATTTATATTGCATTTATGCATCAAAATTCCTCACTTTTCTACAAAATACTGCTGTCAAATTCTAAATTCAGCTGCCATCTTTTTCTTCCTGCTGCCGTGGTGCATTCTGATTTTCACAGTACTTTGTATATCCTGAAAGATGGTATCAATTGTCCTGCAACAGATTGTAGATACACGCCTTCACAATAGCAGTTAAGATTTGCTTTTTGAAGCTAGTTTTTTTTTCCATATATTCTGCATCTCGTGTTTCCATTTCCCATGCTACAGAATAAACCTTCTCAAGCCTGGCCATTCCTTTACTCTTCCTATAAGTTCTTTTGATGTTGGACAAGCCAAAAACAGGTGGTCTATTGTCTCATCCAACATTTCACATAGGCAGCATTTGCTATCTTGTACCGGAATGTTCACTTACCTCAATCTGTCTTTAGTCCAGACCCTACCTTGCCATGCTAACCAGGCTATGAAAGCCTGTTTAGGCAGGTTGGGTCTATACCAGATCAGAGCAGCCTCTGGCTTATGCATTCTGGGCCTTGCAACCATCTATACCCTGCTGTGATTGAGTATTTGCATTTCTGTCTCCTAGCCATTTCCCTTCTCTGAACCCATCTTTTGCTCTGTCCCTGATCTTGAGGATTTGTTTCCACTGCTAGCTATGATGCTGCTTGTTGTGGACTTCCCATATACTTTTCTTCCCTAAGTAAACTTCATGAGTCCATTTCACCCATAAACAGTCTTTTTTGTTAGCTAACCAACAAACTTGCTTTAAGATAGCCGCTTCATTCCAAATTCTTGCATCATGGATACTCAGCCCTCCTTCCTTCTTCCTTCTACATATCTGATCTCAGCCCACAAGTGCATGGTACCTCCCTGATTCTTTGACACCCCTGAGGAACTCCCGGCGTTTCCTATTAATTGCTTTTGTAATGCTGTGAGGGAGAATGAAAGCTGAAGCCCAATAGCCATGTAGGTGAAGTAAGACAGAATTTATTAGTTGAAGTCTCCCTGCATACGACAGATTCCGTGTACTCCAACATTTGAGTCCACTAGTTATTCTCTCTACTAATACTTGGCATTCAACCTGACTCCACTTCTTTGGTGATACAGGCACTCCAAGGTAACGCATTCGAAATGCCCCCTCCTTATACCTAACCAGGTCACATATTTCACTCTTTAAGGCCATATCAACTCCAGCTATAAAGATTTCAGACTTCATAAGGTTTGCCTTTAAGCCAGATGTACGAGAAAATTCACTAAAAGCCTCTTTTATACAAGTCACAGAGAACACGTCTGGTTTGCAGAAGACCATCAAGTCGTCAACAAAACAGATGTTCTTGAGTTTTAGGGTTTTACAAAGCGAGTAAAACTGGAACTCAGACTGCTCAGCTACCTCTTTCAATTGCCTAGTGAAATATTCCATTACTAGGACAAATACCAAGGGCGAAACTGGGTCACCTTGCGCAGTCCTCTTTTACCATAAAAAAACCCTACGTTTGCTCCATTTAGGTTTAACGTAAATGAGGTGGTTCTAATACAAGCCATGATCCACCCTGTAAACTTATTGGGAAATTCAAAACCTCTAATACCTTCTTCAATAAAGTCACATTCCACTGAATCGTACGCCTTTTGGAGGTCTACTTTCTTCGTACATCTACCAGTAACCTTCTTACGATTATATAGTCTAATAAGTTCCTGGGTCATAAGGATATTATAAAGAATACTTCTACCATGTACAAATGCCCCCTGGATTTCATCTACTAGAGTTGGCAACACCATTTTAAGCCTATTGCATAAAACTTTCGAGATAATTTTATACAAGACATTACAACGAGCTATAGACCGAAATTGGCCAGCATTAGATGCATTCTCAATTTTTGGAATAAGAGCTATAACAGTGGAGTTAACTTGTTTGGAAGCATACCAGTTTCGAAGAAGTCCATAATAGCATCAGTTATGTCCTCTCCAATGATGCTCTATGCAGCTTTGAAGAAGTCGCTTCCATACCCATTCGGGCCGGGGCATTTGTTTACACTGATGCTCCAGAGTGCTGCTTTAATTTCCTACTTACTAATTGGTTCCTTGAGCTTAATTTGCTATTCCAGATTCAGTCTAGGCCCCTTACAGAATATTTCTTGTCTCACCTCCTTCCTTGGGGATTGTTGGCCAAGTTGTTTTTGGAAAAAATTGATGAAGTGGCTCTCTATTTCATTCCAGTCTCTTTCAATTTTGCCTTCTTCAACTGTGATTGACCATATGTGATTTCTAACCAATTTCTGCTTCATTTTGGAGTGAAAATATTTGCTATTGATGTCTCCTTCCCGTATCCAATCTTCTTTGAGTTTTTGTCTCATAAAGCTCTCTACAGCCTTGGTAGTTTGAATATAGTGATGGTAGGCTTCTCTCTCTGCTGCTTGAAGCTGTATATCATTTGGGGCCATGATAAGCTGTTGTTGTAGTGTCTGCATTGCATCCTAAGCTTGTATTTGCTTCACTTGAATCTCAGAAAACTTCCTTATGTTTAGTTCCTTCAAATCCCTCTTTATATACTTCAACTTCCTAACTATTTGGAACATCTTTGTGCCAGTCACCTTCCTCTTCCAATTCTTTTCCACTATATCAAGAAAGTTAGGATCTAGTTTCCACATATTAAGGTACTTGAATGGCTTTGGTTTGCTTTGGATTTCCACCTCCATCTAAACTAACAAAGGAGTGTGGTCAGAGACTCCTTCATTGAGTACAGTGGTAATGGCCCAATCATGCTGCTCCATCCACTCTCCATTTATTAATATCCTGTCAAGCTTAGCATAGATTCTTGCTTCACCCATTTGATTATTATTCCATGTGAAGTTTGTCCCCTATTGCCTCATATCCTGGAGTTGGCACTCATTTACGCAGAGTTGGAATGGTTCAATTTCATTTAAAATCACTGCATTCCCCCCTCCCCCCGGCCCACCTTCTCCTCTAGTTTGACGACATTGTTGAAGTCCCCACAAATCACCCATGCTTTATCAATATTTTGGCTGATTACTTTGAGTTCTTCCCACAGTTCAAGTCTGTCAACTTCCCTATTCCCAGCATAAATTCCAGTCAAGTAGAATTCACTTTGACTTGTCTGATCATATACTAAGCAGTGCAGGTATTGGTCTGATCTGCTAAGTACTTGCACTCTCATTGCTTCATCCCACATCAACATGATTCTTCCTTTTTGATTGTGATTGAGGCTCATGTGGTGTTTCCAGGTTGGTAGTGCATTTTTCATAAATTCCTTCCCCTTCTCCTCTTTTAACTTCGTTTCTACAATATTTGCTATATTTATCTTATTTACAGCAATGACTCTAGTGAGTTCAATCTGTTTTAAAGGGGCATTCATGCCCCTGATGTTCCAGGATAGGAGATTACATATGGATCCGAGGGTCTGGATCCGAGTCTATGTTCTCCATTCCATCCCCATTCTTTCTCATTTCTGGTTCCTTTTGCCTTTCCTTTTTTCATCATCTGCCAAGCTGCTCAGTGCCTCAAACTCAATTGACTCGTGCCAGGCCCCTTGGTAACAGTTTCTTTCCTCTGGTTGACATTGAGCTCATCATTTCCCCTGCTCCTGGTTGGACTTTTCGGCCTTTCCACTAGTCTCCATTCCTTTCATCTGGGGTCTTCTTAACTGGTGGAGGTTTTGTAGTTTCCTGCACCGGGTTCTTTTTCCTTCTGCAAATCTTCATTTCATGCCCAAACCCTTGACACTCTCTACATTTAATAGGTCTCCGTTCGCACCTTACTTCTTGTTCCTGAATGATCCCCATTTCATCCTCAAATACTACTAGTTTAGGAACCTCTTCTTGTATCTCCATTTCTACAAGTAGTCTAGCATAATGGACACAATCCTTACTTGCAGTCAGCTCGTCTGTCATTTTAGAAGTACCTATAGTGCTGGCTATGTTACTCAAAGAGTCAAGATTCCAGTATTTAAGTTCTAAATTCGGCAACTGAATCCAGACAGGAACACCCTCTATCTCTTTATAAATTATGCCCTTTTTTACAGACCATGGTTTAATTATGACTGGGTAACCGTCCCCAAAGTGATAGATATTCAACTTTAAAACATCATCTCTAGCAACTAAATTCAAAAATCTGATAACAAATAGGCCAGAGGGTAGAAGAATTACCTTGTCGACTCCTCCCCATAGTTTCCTGTAGTATGCATTCATAAGGGAGTACGGTGGGTTTACACTGATAACGAAGCTCACCACTGAGTTTTGCCAATACTCCGCCTCTTGCTGGACTTTCTCAGGTTAGATCTTAGCAATTGGCACTCCATTAATCACCTTTGGTGGTTTATACTCTAGTTTGGCCCCAGATTTCCTGAATCGATTCACATTTAAAGT